CCCGCCGAGCAGGGAGCCCGATGCGGGGCTCGATCCCAGGACCCCGGGATCATGACCTGAGCTGAAGGCAGATGCTTAACAACTGAGCCACCCAGGCGCCCCCTCTCCAGGACTTTCTAAGCCAAAGTAATTTTTCTCTGAACTTCCAAAGTATGTTGCATTGTCTATCTATAAATGAGATCACACTTTTGAACCCTCAATTATAGGAGAAAGTGAATTTGTGACTATAGTATAATTACAGTATTACAAGCCTGATGAAGAAGAAATTGGGTTAATGAATATTTGATTACCTGGCTTAACTTTTAAGTATTCATATTAAACTCAGACATCCTTAATCACATAAAAGTCTAGGCCCAAAAGTAGCCTTCCAAATTCCTCTCCCATGGTATCCATTCACAGATCCAATAGAGCAACCCTGACTTTGTTGAGACTGTATTATCCCCCCAGAAGCCTCCACACCCCAAAACCAACCTCCTCATGTCTGGATATATACCCAATTCAACCAGTAAAACCAAAATTCTACTGCCACTTCTATGAAGCCAACCATGACGTCCCAGGGAAAGTTTCTACTTTCTTTAAACTAACAGGACATTTTTCTTAAGCCTCAATTTTGCCATTTAAAGACAACCGTTTTATGTGTCTAGTGTCCTCTCCCACTAGACTGTAAGTTGTCATGCTCAGGGGATATCTCTTACCCTCACTGCATTCTACTGTATTCTTTTCCCAATCCCAACGTGTAGCACAATGCCTATCAAAATACAGAAAATCAAAAAGTATTTATGAATGACATCTAATCTCCTCTAATATAATTGAAGCTTCTTAAGGAAAAGGGAAAATGGCACAGGAATAAAAAATAAACACATACTTTAGGTACTTATTTTTCAATTAAAATTGCAGATCAAGGGGCGCCTGGGTGGCTCAGTTGGTTAAGTGTCTGTCTTCGGCTCAGGTCATGATCCCAGGGTCCTGGGATCCAGCCCAACATCAACAGGGAGTCTGCTTCTACCTCTCCCTCTGCTACTCCCCCTGCTTGTGAATGCACTCTCTCTCTCTCTCTAATAAATAAATAAAATATTAATATTTTTAAAAAATAAAATAAAATTGCAGATCAAGAATGTGCAAATGATCAATGTTCATGTAATACAATACTGTATAGTGACAAAAGCAAACAATCTAAAAACTACATTCTACTGTATCAATGAATCTCACAAACATGTTGAGTGACAGAAGCCAGTCAAAAAGACTATGGACGACTGATTCTATTTAAGTCCAAGAACAGACAAAACTAATCTATGTTAAAAGAAATCAGGATAATGGTTAACCTTGCAGGAGGGTAAGTAAGAGAGGCTTTTGAGATGCTGATGTTACTCTGTTTCTTAATCTTTCTGCTAGTTCCCAAATGTCCAATTCACTTATGAAATACAATATATGTACTTTTCTATAAAATATTAATATTTCAATTAAAAAGTTTAGAAATAGAGAGGACATATTTATTATAGTTTCTCTGTTCTGAAAAAAAAAAAAGGTTAACTCCAAGAATATATCTAGAAACCTAAAAGCATTACTACTATAGAAATTTGTTTAAAAACTGTCTACAGGAGACCAAGGTTATTCCTACTAGTAATAACAAAAGTTATACTTTGTTGCCCTTTAACCAACACTTTATTGCCCACTTTTAAACATCCCCTTACTAAAAAAGGAGGAAAATTAAAATCTGAATTGCTCAAGATCTCCATCATTAAATATTATTGTCACTGTGTCTTTCCCATTATACCCTACATATTTCAGTCCTGTTCTAAGGGACTAAAAGAATAAGTTAACTTGTTGTAAAGCAATGAAGAAAAAAATGTTTTGAAATATTTACATTTTTATGTTTGGAAAGTGTGTAATACAGAATGAAAGATAAAATATGACCAAAATTTTTTTTTTTTTAAAGACTGTATTTATTTTTGACAGAGAGAGAGAGAGCACAAGCAGGGGAAGCAGCAGGCAGATGGAGAGGGAGAAGCAGGCTCCCTGCTCAGCAGGGAGCCCGATGTGGGACTCGATCCCAGGACCCTGGGATCATGACCGGAGCCGAAGGCAGACGCTTAACCGCCTGAGCCACCCAGGCACCCATGACCAAAATATTTTTGAAAAAAAAAATAAATCCCAAGACTGGAGTTTAGTATTAGCTTGCTCATTAAAGCTAAAATATATTAGCATGAACATTCAAATGGGAGAAAAATAACTTATTTTCAATGTTACTTAAGCCACATATTTTTTAAATTAGCAAACCTGATTAAAATATACATTAGTTTCAAACTTCATATATAATTAGTATCAATTTAGACATTTTTAAACAAGAAGTATGAACTATTTTGTTGTTTTACATAAAATCTAGATTTCCATTGCTAACTCAAACATACCAACTAAAATTTTTTTTCATTGTGGTATATGTGTTTCAAAAGCTATGATCTATAGTAAGTATGCTCTTCTCATTATTGAAAAAATATATAGTTATAGATATAAATAGCATCAGACATGTGCTTTAAGAAACTGGAATGTGATTTTTAAAAATCCAGATGAAAGAGCTTGTATAATTTGAGGAAGGGAGATACCATATTGGGAACAGAGCTGACACTTAATGACACAACCAGGGTGCCTTACTAAAATAATCTTCACTCACTACATGAGTTAAATAAAATTCTCAGTTCTCATATGATTTTTATTTAATTCAAGCACTATATGAAACATTTATCTGGTATCTTATTCATTTGATTTAACTAAGATACATCTCAACTTAATGAGTTTTATATGTATTACTTTCAATTTAGAGTTGCTAAGAACAAATTATAATTTACGGTCTATTAATTAAGGGAAATAATGTAAAGAAACTATTTCAAAGCAATATACTCATGTAAAGCATAGAAAAATATCACTCAAATAATACAGAAGTGGCCTTAAATACAAAAAAGCAAGTCACTACATCAAAAACTAATGATGTAATGTATGGTGATTAACATAACATAATAAAATAAAATTTAAAAAAGCAAGTCACATCCAAATACAAGCATTGTGTTATCTCATGCTTTTAGTATTTAAATGGAATATTTTCTTTTAGATGTCAGCAGACTTAGTTTAAATCACATTTGACAATATTTAAAGTAAGCCCTACATATCCTTAAACCAAGCCTTGCCTATTTAAATATTCAATTTTTTTTCATATAAAGGCTATAATTCATTTTGAAAATTTTGGCTTCTTATTTTCTAAAAAAGCTAAGTATTTTTTATAGTAAATTGCACTGTTTTTCTAAAAATCTCAGTGTTATGAATGATAAATAAATCAGCACATAACTGAGATAACAGTGCTCACAAACATTTATTAAAGTTGATATTGACATACCACTGGGACATATCCCCTGGTATTTCCTAGTAGATCAGAATATAAAACTTGGCTCAAATGCAACATGCTATGTATACACAAATAAAAAGTTAAAAAGTGAATCTCTATAAAATATAATAAATGACATGTGTGGAATATGGATGAATAAGGATAAAATTAAACTTATCAAGAGAAATTAACAATGATCATTTAATAATAGTTTCATTTTATACAAGAACTGATTTCAAGACTTAACTGCAATTTCTGTATTTTTTAATTTTCTGGATCAACAGGCAAATTTTTTGAAGATGTGAGCATTTAATTTACAAATTTCATTTTAAAAGTTATATATTATTAAAGAAATATATTTTTAACAAATGAAGTACTTTAAAGAATATTTTCTAGAAATTATGTTGCTTTTCATAAATAACAGAAAATACATCCTGTAAAAATAAGCCTACTAATTAGGTTGAGAAAGCAAAGACATATTCTAAACAGTAAAAGTAACCTAATTTTAAAATGTAGAAATATTTCACTAGAATTTAATTTCAAGTGTTTAAACCTTATTTCATATCTTCAGTTTTGTTTTTAATACATTAAAGTTTGCTTTCAATTAAAAAAAAAAAGGTATGATGAGTAACTATTGGCTTTCTTTCTATAAACCTCTTTCAACTTAAGGAAATAGGACCTCCAAATAAAGAAACCCAAAACCAAATGAAAATAAAGCCTAAAATCAGTTTCTTTGAAAATGAAGCAACTATAGACATATAAAACACTAAATCTATGTTATGGGTATGCTTTTCTTAGTAGCTAGGAATACACATGAAATTGTTATTTAGGTGATAAATACTCAGGCCTTGATACTAGTTTGCAACTTTTTAATATCTTCGTATCCTCTCTCAAAAAGGAAAAAATAAGGTATTTGCCTTTGCAGTTCCCGGTACAGTATGAAGCAGCAACAGTTTACTACAGTTCCAACATGGCTTAACAGTTAGTACCCCAACAACACTTAACACTACCACAAAAGATACTATGAACTAGTCACATTTCAGGCATTAAAGAGAGATTTTTAGTGTTTCAGTAAAAGACAGTATAACTTCAGATATTTTTCTAAGGTTTTGTATAAAACTAACACACTTGCATAAGACAGACACAGTTGGGTTTTTCCCCCTTCATAATAAATGAAAATACCATAAACCACATTTTACCATAATACTTACCAGCACGTGGGTAGTTTCAGAAGTTTACCATAAAGAGCAGTGCTGAAAGAGGGAATAATAGGTACAGGTAAGCAGTAAGATCCCCTACAATCCAAAGACGTCAGTCCTGCTTGGAAACCAAATATCTGAAACAAAAAGAAAAGATCCAAATGTTCACAGAGACAAAGTTTTAATAAGCACAGGATGAAATACGTCAGTTTCAATTTGCTCTACAACAGCTGCACACTAAATATGTTCCAATGTCTTTTTCCACTTCCCAAACATCAACATTTTCTTTTATTCAATTTAACACTGACTAAATCCAAATTAAGAGATTTAAATATATAGTATTTCTTTCACTTGCCTGAAAGATCACTGCTTCTAAGTTTCACATTTTATTTCTAAACATAACTCTCATGTAGTGTTTTATTGTCTGCTAAAATGCACACACTTGCTATTAATATAAACTGCCTGTATTGTGCACATTGTAAAAATTAACTGTAATAAATTACTGTTAATATAATTTAATGCCTAAAAGAACATTAATTACAACAAAAACAATCATAAAAATCTATTTTGCCTTCAACTTACATTATGCACACACAAAAAGGATATTCAAATATATCCTAAAAATGTTACATCTTTTCCCTTTCTTCCGTGAAAATTCTAGGGCTGTTTTTCACCCCCAGAAATTTGGTACATGGCATACTCTTCATATGTTTATACTTAAAACGAGGAGATCACACTCAAAAATTTTATAAGCATTCCCTGAAATTCCTGAACAGTATACTTGCTTTAATAGGAAGAATCAATATAACATCACATTATATATGAAACACTACACAGAACTTACTATATTTCTGCTCCAGTTATTTCCAATACGGTAAAAGATAAACATCTCAAACAGGAAACACTAACACACAGGGATACAAAACAGTTACTGTTTTCCAATAACATACAGAAGTAGTTTAAGCCTAACACTTAACTTTATTAATTTTTGTTCCTTAGGTTCATCAAGCACTGACTTTCCTATCTCTAGGATTTATATTAACTGATTAAGTTCTACAGTGAAACATGTTTAAGATTTTTCAATCACTAATTTTCACAACAAAATACTTTCATTTAATGAACTTATAAACTAATGACTAATTTCTTAAAAAGTATTAAACTACTTCCAAATGGTTTCAAAAAGGTATTATGTCCCTATCATTCATCAAACTGACAAAGTGAAATCATTTGCTCTAAAATCAGTTCTAAGTGAACAAAATAACTTCTTGGAAATGAGACATTAGTTAGAATTACATATTTTTAGAGAAAACTGCATTTCAAAGGACCTACTTACCTAATTACTATCAAAGAAAATGAAAGTGATTAACCTACTATCCTGTAAGTACTACTATCAACCAAGTGGCAAGAAATAGAGAATTGAGAAGGAAAAAAAAAAATGATTCTAATACTTAAATGATGAACCTTAAAAATTAAGTTAGTCACATACATTATCTTTGAAGACTTGTTCTGAGCAACACTGTATACCAAGAATTTCCAGGCACTGTGCAATTTCAGAATTTATTTCCTCTAAAAGGCCCATTTAAAGGATCCTAAAGTCTATAATTACTAATACCACTTAATATAAAACATTTTTAAAACAATGCCCAACCTCTAAATATTCCTAGAGTATGAATAAGGGTAATATTTTATCATATTAGATTATCTGTGGTCAACTAAGAACTCTCTCAAGGCACTTTCTAATATTCTATGAAATGCCCAACAGTATAATCACAGACACTATCATTAAGTGTACTCAGATGGAAACTGGGTGTAGAGGAGATCCCTGCTGGATGTTTGCAGAACTGCAAAGGACTCTGGGGAAACTGTATCTTATTTCATAATGTTTTTTAAACTTTTACTAAATTTACATGCTGCGCAGAGATGCTTCTAAGGGAACATTCAGGCAAATATAAATTATAATGAAAGAGTGCCTATCTACCACATCAAAAATAATTATTTCAAAATAACCAATTTCTAACTCTCCTTTAAATTACAGTAGATATACACAGGTTTACAATACCTACGTAACCTACTAACTTGTCAACAGCTCTTGATCAAGATTACAAATACTTTATCTAGAAAAAGGGAAACCACCAATGCAACAGGAGTGGAGGTTGTTTCACGAAGGATAATTCATGTATTAATAAACAGAATAAAAGCACTGAACATTGCAAACTAATAGTCTGAACAGTAAGAATGTAAAAAGCAGTTAAGTGTAACTACCAATAAAAATTTTAGCTGAAGGAAATGTCAACTTGAATAAGATGACTTACACATATCACACTAAATGAACAATTCAACACGCAGTGCCACCTTTTAAAAAAATCCAATTAGAAAATAAAAAACATCATCTACATTTTAACACTTTGCAATGTTCTTGAATTAACATCAATAGAAGAAACTGTAGATTTAGAAATATAAAAAACTCCTAGTAAATTTTTAATAAAAATTAGTATGCTAAATTAGGATTTGCAATGATAAAAGGCAAAAACTATAAAAAATCACACACTAACTGTAAATGAGAAGGAAAACATAGTAATTGTGATGTAAAACAAATCATTTTTATGCTGTTCTCATCATAAGACACTCAGTATAATAGTATAACCAGCATGCTAAAGATATGTTCCTTTCTTAAAGGGACAAACAGAAAAATAAAAATCAAGCATTACCTTCGCTACAATGTTAATCCATAAATATGTTCCATTTCTATCACCAATAATGAAGAAGCAGAAAGAGAAATTAAGGCTCAATCCCATTTACAATTGCACCAAAAACCATAAGACACCTAGGAATAAACCTAACCAAAAAGGTCAAAGACCCGTACTCTGAAAACTACAAAACACTAATTAAAGAAATTGAACAGGACATAAAAAAAAGGAAAAACATCCCATTTTCATGGGTTGGAAAATCAAATATTGTTAAAATGTCTATACTACCCAAAGTAATCTACACATTTAATGTAATCCCCATCAAAATAATTTTTCACAGATCTAGAATAAACAATGCAAAAATTTGTATGGAACCACAAAAGACCCTGAATAGCCAAATCAATCCTGAAAAAGAAAAGCTGGAGGCATCACAATTCCAGACTTCAAACTATATTACAAAGCTGTAGGGATCAAAACACTATGGTACTGGCACAAAAACAGACACATAGATCAGTGGAACAGAACAGAAAACCCAGAAATAAACCCACAACTATATGGCCAATTTATATTTGACAAGGCAGGAAAGAATATTCAATGGAAAAAAGATAGTCTAGTCAACAAATGGTGTTGGAAAAACTGGACAGCAACATGCAAAAGAATGAAACTGGACCAGTTTCTTATACCATACACGAAAATAAATTCAAAATGGATGCAAGACCTAAATGTAAGAAACCATAAAAATCCGAGAGAAGAACACAGACAATAATTTCTCTGATATTGGCCATAGCAATTTCTTTCTAGATACGTCTCCTGAGGCAAGGAAACAAAAGCAAAAGTAAATTTTTGGGACTCCATCAAAATAAAAAGCCTCTGCAGGGCAAAGGAAACAATCAACAAAACTAAAAGGCAACCCACAGAATGGGAGAAGATATTTTCAAATGACATATCCAATTAAGGGTTAGTATCCAAAATATATAAAGAACTTACATAACTCAACACCCAAAAAATGAATAACCCAATTTAAAAATGGGCAGAAGACATGAATACACATTTTTCCAAAGAAGATATACAGATGGCCAACAGACACATGAAAAGATGCTTAATATCGCTCATCATCAGGGAAATACAAATCAAAACTACAATGAGATATCACCTCACACCTGTCAGAATGGCTAAAATCAACAACACAAGAAACAACAAGTGCTGGCAAGGATATGGAGAAAGGGGAACCCTTGTGCACTGCTGGTGGGAATGGAACCTGGTCAGCCACTGTGGAAGATAGTATGGAGGTTCCTCAAAAAGTTAAAAATAGAGCTACCCTACAATCCAGCAATTGCACTACTGGGTATTCACCCAAAGAATACAAAACACCAATTCAAAGGTATACATGTACCCTGATGTTTATATAGCAGCATTATCTACAACAGCCAAATTACGGAAATAGCCCAAACGTCCATCCACTGATGAATGGATAAAGATATGGTGTACACACACATATAATGGAATATTACTCATCCAATAAAAAATGAACTCTTGCCATCTGCAACAACATGGATGGACCTAGACGGTATTATGCTAAGCAAAATAAGTCGGTCAGAGAAAGACAAACACCATATGATTTCATTCATATGTGGAATTTAAGAAACAAGACAAGGGCGCCTGGGTGGCTCAGTTGGTTGGGCAGCTGCCTTCGGCTCAGGTCATGGTCCTGGAGTCCCAGGATCGAGTCCTGCATCGGGCTCCCTGCTCGGCAGGGAGTCTGCTTCTCCCTCTGATCCTCCCCCCCTCATGCTCTATCTCATTCTCTCTCTCAATAAATAAAATCTTAAAAAAAAAAAAAAAGAAACAAGACAAATGAGCAAAGGAAAAAAAAAAAGAGAGAGACAAACCAAGAAACAGACTCGTAACTATAGAGAACAAACTGACAGTTATCAGAGGGGAGATGGATGAGGGAATGGGTGAAATAGAAAATAGGTGATGAGGATTAAGGAGTGCACTTGCTGTGATGAGTACTGGGTGTTGTATGGAGTACTGAATCACTATATTGTACACCTGAAACTAATATTACACTGTATGGTACCTAACTAGAATTTAAATCAAAAGTTTTTTAAAAATTTAAAGAATGAAAAATACATATATATAATAGTGTAGCTGCTGTGCATACTTATATGCTGTGTTTTAAAAAATAAAGTTATTATTCAGCATTCCATTTCAAGCTATATACAGAAAATAAATCAGTGAAGTTAACAGGTATTTGCACCCCATGTTTATACCACCATTATAGATATTACCCAAAATGTGGGTACAACCCAAGTATTCATCAATAAAAGAGTGGATTAACAAAATGTGGTATATACATAGAATGTAGTGTTCAGACTCGAACCATAAGCAAGCTTTACAGTATGCTATGACATGAATGAATCTTAGAGACAGTATCCTAATGAAATACAACAGTTAAATGCACATATACTGTGTGATTCCACTAATCTGAGGTACTTAAAGTAGTCAAATTCATAGAGACAGAGTGAAGAATGGTGGTTACCCAGGGACAGAGGAGAGAGGATTTGGAATTATTCTTTAATAGAGATTCAGTATGGGTTGATGAGAAGATTCTGGAGATGGATGGTAAAGACAGTTACACAATTATGAATGTAGTTACTCTCCCTTAACTATACACCAAAAAATTGTTTCAATGGTAATTTTTATGTCAAATGTATTTTACAAAAATAAAAAAAGTAAAATAGTTTAAAAAAGAGTAAACCACATACAGTAATGCATTGGAACATGCAATCCATTTTTAATTTTATCAACTCAAGATTTGTGGAAATTTGTTCTCTTATTAAGTACATCCTAAATTTTGCCTCCTGGCCCACAAAGTCTAACGTATTTACTCTCTGACCCTTTAAAGAAAAGTTTGTTGACCCCTGCTGTAGGATATACACTGAAAATTGGATGGGTATAAGGTAAATTTGTCTTCAAATTTGTTAGATCCTACAAAAGTACCGTCCAAAATGATACCAATTTACACACCCATCAGCCATGTATGAAAGCACCACTTCTCCAAATCCCCGGAGAAAACTATTTTCTTGAGGTTGAAAATTACCAAATCTAAACAAAGGATTTTGATTCTACTATAATCTTCTCGATCTCTCTGAAGCATTTGCCATAGCTGATCCTTATGAGTAAGAAGGCCTTAAATTTATATATTATTCTACAGTTTATAGGGTGCCTTCACGAACTTATTCATGTTTCAAACATCAGATGCTTTGCAATGACTTAGCTACTTGATGCCATATATATTCAAAGGATGGGCTTAGCAGTTAAATAAAGAGCACTTGGTAAGACATATGAAAGTTCCATCTGTGGGTTCTCTTCACACATCCAGGCCATCTCTCCCAATTAATAAATTTCACTACATGAAATAGGTGCTATATACCATTTCATCATATAGTCAATACAGTCAAATTTAGGTATACAAAATTAAAAACTTGAGCATTTTGTTTCAGTATTTACTGAAAATTACTTAGGGTCTAAGATGCCACACACATGAAATAAACATTCAAATTCTCTACTGTAATATTTTAACACTATGATGGAAAAATTAATCTTTGTAAACCTCCTCAAACGTCAGAGTAATTATGCCAAGTAACACGAACTGCTATAAACTCTACAACAAATCAGTATTTTGAGTCGGTTCCAAATAGTACAAATATAAACTAAAACTCTCTAACAAATCCTGAACGTTTACAAATGTACCAGGCCAGGGACACCTGGGTGGCTCAGTTGATTAAGCATCTGCCTTTGGCTCAGGTCATGGGATCAAGTCCAGCATCAGGCTCCCTGCTCAACGGGGAGTCTGCTTCTCCCTCTGCCTGCCGCTCCCCCCTGCTTGTGCACTCTCTCTCTGTGACAAATAAATAAAATCTTAAAAAAAAAAAAAAATGTACCAGGCCAGGGGTGCCTGGGTGACTCAGTGGGTTGAGCATCTGACTCTTGATTTCGGCTCAGGTCATTATCTCTCAAGTCTTAGGATCAAGCATCCCCCACCACCACTCCCCAAGGCAGGCTCCAAGCTCAGCACATTCTTCTCCCTCTGACCATCCCCCCTGCCCACGTGCTCTCTAAAATAAAAATTCTTAAAAAAAAAAAAAAAGTACCAGGCCACTGAAGAAGCATCAAAAATACAATGATATATTCAAGACTCAAGGCTTTATTTTTTTAAATATACAATATTCTTTTTTTCAAGATTTTATTTAGTTGAGAGAGAGAGCACGAGTGCACAGGAGAGAGCATGAGTTGTGGGGGGGGAGCAGGGAGAGGGAGAAGCAGGCTCCCCACTGAGCGGAGAGCCTGACTCAGGGCTCAATCCCAGGACCCTGGGCTTATGACCTGAGCCGAAGGCAGCAGCTTAACCAAATAAGCCACCCAACTGCCCCAAAATACTCAATATTCTTAATATCAATGACAAGTTTTTCTACATATAATATTCCTGCTCTGCCTAACACCAAACCTCCTAGAACATAGCTTATCCATTACACATAGCTCTAGTCAAATTAACCAAAATATAAAAGACAATTAGTATGCATAAAAGCAAAAGACCTTTTTCCAAAACATAACTTTATCCAGATTACACTGTAACTAACTTTTACATTACCCTGGAAAATTTTTTTTAAGATTTTACTTATTTATTATTTGAGAGAGAGAAAGAGAGCCTTAGCTGGGAGAGGCAGAGGGAAAAGAGAGAGAGAATCCTTAGCAGACTCCAAGCTGAGCACAGATCTGAACACGAGGTTCAATCTCACAACCCTGAGATCATGACCTGAGCCAAAATCAAGAGTCACTCACCTGACTGAGCCACCTACATTACCCTGGAAATTTAAGTGCGCTTTTAAAATGATAACAGTAGTAGTAAACAACTATCCCAGTAACTTTTATCTCAGTATGGAGGACAACCATATTGGTGACTATTGGCTTTGGCGACCATTCTCCTTAAGGACAGGACATGCCTTATTCATCTTCAATGCTGAGTGTCTGCAATATGTAAAGAATCTAATATTTACCAAATTGATGAATCCTACCTAAGTAGACTACCTCGGAAAGATTAGAGAACTGCCTGAAATTAGTCCTGTTTCAATAAAACAAGGCAAATATTCCCAACATTATAATCTGATATTCAAGTCATACCAATATTTAAAAAAATACACTTCAGTGTATTAATTATGGGAATGAATAAAAAGGCACAAGTATAAAATATTACCTATATATCTAGCTTTCAAAATTACTTTCTGCTACTCTCCACACGACATAAAACACTGTGATAGATAATTCTAATAATGGCCCTAATGAATCATACTTTCCTGTGTCCACACCCCTTCACAACCTGACAGTATCACTCTCTCATTAAGCAAGGGAGTGGAGTCTCTTCCATCCTCTTAAAAATGGGCTTTGCATGAACTTCTAGGAAAACATGTTCTTCTACTCTCCATGGTTTGAAAACAAATTTCACCACCTTAAACTAGAGGTGATGTAAAACTTTTATTTACATTGGTTTCTTTTTATTCTACAAATAGACAAGTATTTAAGAACTTTCAAACATGGAACAATGAAGCATGAACCAATAAAATCTACTTCTGGAGTTCTCTAATTTTGGAGTCCTTTACGTGAAATTTAGTGTATTTTTAGTTCTTATTCTTGAATATAAGTCTGTAAAGTTTTCTTTAATCCATAAAAGAATTTGATTAGATATATGCTATCTCTACTTAGACTATACATCTGTGTTTGCTTTGCAAAAACACTACTCAACATTTGATTTTATCTTTACGTACCTACAATGGGATGTTTTTGTTGTTGCTGTTTTTTGAGAGACAGTGCACCTGTGCACGTGCAACAGAGGCAGAGAGGAGGGGCACAGAGAGGGGTAGGAAGAGGAAGAAAGAGAATCTTAAGCAGGCTCCACGCTCAGTGCAGAGCCCAATGCAGAGCTGGATCTCACAATCCTGAGATCATGACCTGAGCAGAAATTGAGAGTACAACACTTAACCAACTGAGCCACCCAGGCACACCTGGGATATATTATTTACCAAGAAAATACGTAAGAGCTGAGTATATAGCCTCCAGTAATTAATGTTATATAACTCGATTTAAACCATTAAGAGTTCTCTCTTTGTATCAAGAAATTAACATGAATTCAGTTAAGAGGAAAGTAACTAAAAAAAAACAATGTGTTATGTTCCCCTCAAAGAAATCATGAGTCTTTAAAACACTCTTATAAACTAAGTGTTCCTGGGGCGCCTGGGTGGCTCAGTCGTTAAGCGTCTGCCTTCGGCTCAGGTCATGACCCAGGGTTCTGGGATCAAGCCCCACATCAGGCTCCCTGCTCCGCTGGAGGCCTGCTTCTCCCTCTCCCACTCCCCCTGCTTGTGTTCCCTCTCTCACTGTCTCTCTGTCAAATAAATAAATAAAATCTTTAAAAAATAAAAAAATAAATAAACTAAGTGTTCCTTCACACTAATTATAATTATCATTGATGACATATAAAATCTTCAAAAACCAGGGCGCCTGGGTAGCTCAGTCCTCTGAGTGACCAGCTCTTGGTTTCAGCTCAAGTAATGATCTCATGGGTCATGAGACTGAGGCTGCATTAGGCTCCATTCTCAGCAAGGAGTCAGTTTGAAAATTCTCTCCCTCTGCCCCTTCCCCTTACCTCTAAAGTAAATATTTTTTTAAAAATCTTCAAAAACCATAATTAACATTATAAACATATAGACATAAACATACAAACATATAAACATCCAGCTATTAATTCAAAAAAATTGGGTAACTTTAAAATAGGTACACTTTCATTTAATTATGTTGAATAATGAATATATCTATTATGTATCATTTAAATCTCATCTTATGGGGGTACTAATTCTATGAAGTTACAACTCCAAGAAAAAAGATATTTAATTAATTCTCCCAAAGCCAAACAGATACTAATAAACAAGAAAATCCACTTTTCCTACCTTAAGATAGCAGTGTGCATAGCAATAATGAAGCAGATTATCAGAAGGCTGAGTAAGGCTGCTGACCACATGCACCAACTGTTCAGCATACATTGGCACAGAATGTTCCAGATTAATTTTATCCACTAATATCTGAATGGATGGCAAAGGCCGAAGTGACTGGAAGTTTGTAGTATTCAGGAAGTTACTTGAGTTCTGGAAAATAATAGAGTTCACTTTATATTTCAGGAAAACAGTGACTGACATGCAATGCCCCCATACAAGCCTCAGACTGGCACATTTTGCAACGTTATCAAATCAATCTAGAAATGATGATTTTCTACAGAACTCTCTTACCATAACCAAATACAAATGCCTTCTATATATTTTCAAGTATGTCCTAGATTTCAAAATGCATATTTACTATAAAATTATTACTACCCATTTAGCTAAACTTTTATTTTTCAATCAACTGGAATAGCTCACTATGTGCTCCTCAGTACATTTAATGGTATTTTCTTAAGCTCAACCATTCCCAAATATTGACCTAGATATCCCAGAGCCACCCACCATTTGTCTTCCTGTGCTTTATTCACATTTAGATGATGAAGAGACTAAGAAGACTACTCAGACAGTTTCAAAGACACAAGAAGCAAAATTTGCAAGGAGGAATAACTTCTGATCCATATCATATCTACTAATAATACACATGTTAAAGGCTCATAAAATCCTAAGAATCTCAAGTTAGGCTTGGTACTTTCACTGTTACAGAACCTAAGCTTCCAAGTAAATGCAAGTAGGTATCAAGATGTCCAGAGTATGAACCCTCATTAGCAAGCAACTCCTTCTGGTCCTAAAACTAACTTATTCCCTTAAAATGCCATACTGTCATTCACAATGAGAAACTGTATGACCTTAGACATACGCGAAAATCCACGGAAGAGAGGTTTCACTGTTTTGTCTGTCTTTCATTGTCACAACAACTGCGGAGTAGTACTAGCATTTAGCAGGGATTGGCTAAAGATAGTAAATGATACATAAAACTTTCCCTGTCCAAAAAGCCAACAGTGCCATTATTGAGAAACACTGTGCCTAAAATTGACTAAGTTGAACATACTTGTTTGAACATGCTTTTTTAACTTTTTACTAATTTTTAAACCACCACTTACTAATCAATTACTCTTTTAAGCAACTTTGGATTATTAAGGTACAACATACGGTAAAGCACACAAATCTTAAGTGGAGAGCTCAATAAAATTTTACATCTATAACTACCACACATTTCAAGTACTCTACAATATATCCCTTCTCAGGCGATAGATCAGATCACTGCCAGAGGTAGCCAATATTCTCACTGCAATCACCACAGACTAGTTTTGCCTGTTCTTGAACTTTACAGAATCATACAGTACATGCTCATGACTGCCTACTTTAATAAAACATGCCATCTGTAAGAATTATCTATGTTGTTCCACTCATGGAGTTAACAGTCATTATTACAAAACAGCTATTTCTAATAATAGTTCTTGTCTTGAGCTCACACTTTCTGGTATTAAAACAGCCACACTGTATTTCCTGTGATTCGCATTTAAATTGTTTTCCATCCTTTTATTTCTAATTTGTGTTACAGTTTTCAGTTACAGAATGGGATTTGTTGTTGCTTTTTTTTATAGATTGAGGTATCTTGTGAAACCTTCCACCTTTTTGTCTCTTTCTTGAACTCATTACTCACAGCTGCTTCGAAGTTAATGTCTAATACTGACATACTTTTTCTCTGCTGAAATTTTCTCCAGATGATCTCTTTACCCAGCAACACAACAATTGTAAGTGGACAATATGGAGCAAATACACAAAATGAAACTATTGTATCATAGTCAATTCCCTGTCATACTTCCACAAGTTCTTATTTAAAGTTAGGACAGTTCTTATTTCTATAATCATCATTATGTAGATATCAAAAGAAATATAACAGAAAAACCCTAAAGATAACAAATACATTATGTATATGGCAAACTCAGAAAGCAATACATTATATATGGCCTAAATCAAGTGAAGCATCTAAGAAGTCCTCATTAACAATAAAGTAGTAATTACTGTGTTCATAACATGTGCAAAATGATTTATGTGCATTATCTCATCTAATATTAAAAATAATTCTAAGAGGTAGATACTGTAAGGGAACAGCTCTGTGCCAGCATTCTGACAATCTTACACAAATCCATGTAGACCATAAAGGCAAGATGCAACCACAGCAGACCTAAGCTGTGTGGAATATCCTGTGACTTTCACAACATGAGAAGATAGGGGGGTCTTGCAAAGAGCTTCTGAAAGACCACTTCTCACCTTCTTTTGAGGGAGACTGCTATGAGACATTTTCTCATCAGTATCCCACATTCAGGTGAGATATGGGGTTTCCACTTACTATTCTCAATGTACAGCTGTAATCTATGTAACTGCTTAGATGAAATGTGGAATTGAATCCTTGACAAAATAGTACTGTACTTAATGGTGTGCTGCACGTGTGTGCTGCAGGTCATTTTGGCCTTCTGGTTTCAAGGTTGTCCTGAAAGAGACACAGCAAGCTGACACCATTAATGATTTGCTCTTATGTTTTATGTAAGTAATAAACTATCTGAATCCATATAGGCTTACTGCTTCTTTACCAGCTGAATCTGTCAGCCCACTTGAAAAATATTCTTGTTTTGTTTTTCAGAAACAGGTTTAGAGATACAAAGTGTCATAGTTTGTATATTAGACTGACTTCCAGGCCCACGATCTCTTCAACATTTCTTGATACAGTCTTAGCTTGAGGTTATTTATATATAATATATATGTGTACACACATACACACACACTTAAAAATTAACAATCATAGTTACATTGTTTTAACATCACCATGGATAATTATATAAGCACTTATTCTTTTACTCTATCACCTTCCTCTTATAATATCATAGGACTTGCAAATATGCATGTATGAGAAAAAAAAAAAGTAGTGAACTGCAAAATATACCTTTTCTCCCATAATGACAGGTAGCAAATGATCCAACAAGTTGAATTCAGCCATGAAAATAGTACAGGTACATTTGAGGAGAGTAACACTTGTATGTCGAGTAGGAATATATTCCTCCAAAGATGCCACTTCTTCAGGATTCAGTATTGTTTCATTTTCATCCTTAATATCTAAAAATGAAATCATGAAAATTTAATAAAATATTATTTTTAAATAATTGAATTAATTGGTTCCCAAATTTTAAGGTCAAATAGTATTTTTCTTTTCAACAATGAAGCAATTGCAAACTAATGTGTTACCTTTAACAAATATAAGTTAAACTTATATAAGTTACTGTAGAATATAAATGTAGGTCTTTGCTATATAAAAATTTACATATTTGATTTTAAATTATTTTTTAAATATTTTAAAGGAATTTTTAATCTCTTTTGTTAAAAGAATAACAGCTTCTGTTCATAAAAATACCATTAAGATGATGCAAAAGCAAGGCACAAACTGGCAGAAGATATTTGCCATAGATAGATGGATATAGATATCTATATAAAGGACCCACAGCATATTAAAAATTTTTTAATGTAAAACCTTTTAAAAATCAATAATAAACAACTGAATAGAAAAATGGGCTACAAAGCCTTGAACAAGCAAAGGATAGTATTTCTAAATGGCCAAAAATCCTATGGAAAGCTAGATAACATCATTAGGCATCAGATAAATGCAAATGAAGTTACATGACAGCATCACAGACCCACTAGAATGGTTAAAATGAAAAAGACTAATACTGGGTGTTGGCAAGCATGCAAACCAAACATCAGCAAACCTTTTACATAAACAGCCATTTAGAAACTATTCTAGCCTTTGTGGGCCATACAGTCTAGCACAACTACTCAACTCTGCCACTGTAGCACAAAAGCAGCTACAGACAATACCAAACTCTATGAGCAAGATTATGTCCTGATAAAACTTTACCTATGGAAACTGAAAATTAAATTTCATATAGTTTTCATGGGTCATAAAATACGATTCTTTTATTTTTTCAAAAGATTTTATTTATTTATTTGACAGAGAGAGAGAGAGCGAGAGAGGGAACACAAGCAGGGGGAGTGGGAGAGGGAGAAGCAGGCTTCCCGTGGAGCAGGGAGCCTGATGCGGGGCTCGATCCCAGGACCCTGGGATCATGACCTGAGACGAAGGCAGACGCTTAACGACTGAGCCACCCAGGCACCCTTTCCTAATTATTTAAAAACACAAAACCCACTATCAACTCATGTGCTGCACAAAAAGAGGCAGTAAGTCATAGTTTGCCAGCCCTGGCAATTAAAACTCTCCAAACCACTGATAAGAACGTACAGTGGTCCCACTTGGGAAAACAGTTCGGAAACACCTACTAAAAGTGAATATTTGCAATTCTTTTACCTGAGTGGTTCTACTCATACATGCCCAACAGAAAGGAGTACACATGTTTACCAAAAGGCATGTACTAGAATGTTTGTGGCATCACTACCATAACTAACCAAAAACTAGAAACTAAATACTCATCAACAGTAAAATGGATAAATGGTGGTATATCCACACAATGACACACTATATAATAATGAAATAAATCTCATAAACAAGCTAAAGCTAAAGCCAGAGACAGAAGATACATATTGTGTGATTCCATTTATATGAATTATAAGCTAAGCAAAAACTCAATCCAAGAAGTTAGAAGTAAGGAGAGCGGTTACCCTTGGGGTCAAAGGAGTAAAGAGAATAGAGCACAAAGGGGACTTCTGGAGTGCTGCTAAGGTTCCATTTCTTGAACAGTTATATAGATGTGGTTAAGTTTGCAAAATTCATAGAACTATACCCTTAGGTTTTGTGCTTTCCAATATGTATATTACACCACAATAAACAGCTTCTAGAAAGTGGATAAGTACTTAAGATGTAATACATATGTACTCATTTACATGCACATTATGTATGTAGAAGCAGCTCTCACTTTGCACAGTTCTGGGTATACATCAGTTTCAATTATCTTGTTTTAGTTAAAAAATGCCAGTTCCCCCAAAAACAGTTCAAATATCAGTTACCACAGTATAGTAAGAGCATAAAGTACAAACCTTACTGCAAGTTCTTCAATCCACAAATCATAACATAGATAAAAGATGTGCATCATGATCAGTGACCAATCACGTCACTTCTTTCAAAGTCAGTCAGGTTTGGTTACTGGTATCCCATATCTGTTATTTAACTCCCAGACAGCAAAGCATGTAGCTGTACTGCCTCCTTGTTTACCAGTAATAAACCCATGTGACATTTTACAAAAATGGGTAATTGGAACAGAACTGGCAATCAAAGATGAAAGTGCAGCAAAGAAACAAAGACTGATAAAATACAAGGAGTTACAGAAGAAATAGCTAACTGTGGGAATATCAACTCTGTACCCTTGGAGAGACTTCAGATATGAAGCCAGGGGAATTAGTGAAGACAGACTTATCAATGTTGATAAGAAAAGTGGTTGTGATAAAAAGAACGAAGAAAGGGGCGCCTGGGTGGCTCAGTCATTAAGTGTCTGCCTTCGGCTCACGTCATGATCCCAGGGTCCTGGGATCAAGCCCCACATCGGGCTCTCTGCTCGGCGGGAAGCCTGCTTCTCCCTCTCCCACTTCCCCTGCTTGTGTTCCCTTTCTCGCTCTCTCTGTCAAATAAATAAATAAAATCTTTAAAAAAAAAAAGAAGAACGAAGATGTCTAAAGATGTCCCAGAGGAAGTGATGCAAACAAAATACTTCCCATTAAAGGAACTCTCAGAGGTTTTCACAACACTGAAATGTATGGGAATCTGATCCAAACTTAGAAGTATAACAATCTGCCAAAGCATAGGAAAGAGTCACTCTATATTGTAAGTTACAGGACAAGGAGACAAGCACCGTTTAAACTACTCTTAAGTTTCTCTTTTTTAAGAAATAAAACTCTTACTTTACTATTCCCTTTTTTTCATTTCTATATACTTTCAAACCAATAGTAAGAGAGCTTTTAGTGTTTTGACAAAAATATCCAAAAGTGTGAAACAGTTTCAATTTGTCCCACTGATTATGATCACTTTCCATGATATCAGCTGGCACATTTTTATGATTCCTAATTACCATGGAAAGTGAGAATTGTCTGTATATTAAACTAAAGTGAACTAACAGCAATATATATATATATTCACACACATACATAGTTTATATATATGGATATACAGATATGTAGAAAAATAGATATAGATGTGTGTGTGTGTGTCACATTCTTGAGACGATAAACTGCTTCAGATAAAAATTCATGTTATATATACTTGTGTGTGTGTAGGGAATCATTCCACTGTCAAAGAGACAGCTAACTACAATCTTTCTTTTAGCAATAAAACCCTCTGAATTGAAGTCTGGTACTGAGGTTTCCAGAGACTACTATACTTTCCAGTATCCCTGCTGCTAGGTATAGGGACATGTTACTAAGTTTTGGTAAATGGGATGACAGAGCCATGTCATTAAATAAAACCACATACCTACCATTTTCTCTTGCTCCACCTTTCCTGTTGATTCAAATTAAATATTATAATCATGGTCCAACATTTACCACGAAGATGAGGTATATCTCAAAGAATGGTAGAATAATAAGACAAAGAATTCTGGGTCTAGAGACAACCTCAAGCAATAGTTACCTTATCTGCTAGAGCACCTACCAGCTTGGATTTTTACATGAGAAAAACAAATTAGGTATTGATATTTGTGTGAACCTAAGTTTTCATTTCTCTGGCATAAATGCGAAAGAGTACAGCTGCTGGGCTATATAGTAGTTGCAGGTTTAGTTTTAAAGAAATTGACAAACTGTTTTCAGAAGTAGTATAGATTTTACATTCCCACCAGCAATGATGAGTGATCCTGTTTCTTCACATTCTCCCCAACATTTGGTACTACCACCGTTTTTATTTTAGCCATTTTATACACACTTTTCTAGCCCTTTAAAGAGTGTCTGAGATGGAGTAGGCATGCAAGCAAGGTGCAAGAAATGAATGCATAAACATGTCAAGCACTTACTAGGTACTGGACACAGTGTTACATGCTATTACATGTACTGATCTTTGGAAACGGGTCCTACTAGTGTAATATTTAGATAACGGTAAATTTGCTATGACAAAAGTCAAGTAAAGTTTGAACAGCAGCAGAAGTTTATTTCATATAACAATCTGAGTCTAAAGGATCCAGAGATGACAGTGCTACCATGCTACCAAAGATCCAGGTTCTTGCTGTCTTGTTGCTGTTATCCTTAGCAGGCAACTTTCATTTCAGGGTCAAAGATGGCAGCTCCAACTCCTGCCATTATAATTTTTTCCAGCCAGAAGGAAGGGGTAAAGAAGAAAAGGAAGGTATGTGCATTTCCTTTTAAAGTCACCGCCCCAAAATTCACTTAAAGTTCTGTTCCCATCCCAGCAGTCAGAACCTTGAGTCCTGTGACTATACCTGGGATGTGTCATCTTTACTTTTATCCTAAGAATTGTTATCATAGAAACTTCTTTTACTATAAAATAAGGGGATAATGGATAAGGGGGAGATAATTTAACCATCTCTGTTACAATAATTAAACTCATTATTGAGATAGAGAAATGAAAAATCAGTGATGTCACTTACATATCCTAACTTTAAAAGCAGGGGTCAGAATTCAAGCCATAGTCTGACACTATATTATTATTATATTATACTATTATATCCTACTCTAGAGTGCTTTATTGCATAAAAAATGAATTTGTATTTTAGGAAACCATGACACCTTCATGCCACATAGAGAAAATTAGGTGTACAACAAATTCTTTTTTTATCAGTAAGACCTACATCTCCTTGAATGCTAAGTTTATATGTTTAGAGTCCATCTTCATGTCTGCTCTTCAGAAACCACAAAGGTGGGAAAATGGTATTTCAGGAATATACACTGGGAAAAGTATCAAAAAGTCTGGTAATAAAATGCTGACAAATACTGGCAAATAAAGTACTTATGTAAATAATTTCCAAATCTTGACCTCTCCCATAACTTCTACATACAACTAAATACATGAAAATCAGATAGGCAAACTACACAAAAAAGTATACTTTAGCAAACTACAACAAATTGGATTATATAATCATTCAAATCAACTAGCAAGAGATTCAAAATGAGGCCAAAAACAAACCTGGTTTTAGCCCACTGTATGGTTCATATTCATGTTCCAAGGCACAAACAATCATTTTCAAAATTCTATGTACTGCACTGCTATCCAAACGAAAATCAAGAGGACCTATAACAAGGCTTTTTGTAGATTTCTCCTGAACTGTTCCCATATCCTCACTTTTTCCTGAAGAAAAGTCTTGTTGATTTGTAGAACCTACAAGAAACCACATCTTATATTAATATTTTAAGCAATTAGATATACCAATTGTAATATTACTTTTATCTTTTTAGCTTATAGCTTAATGCCTTAAAACCAATTCTCCATTGGTTGAATAATCAGAACACTGCCAATCTGTATTTTTCTCTACATAAATGAGATGGTTATTATTAACAAAAAAATATTGATTCAAATAACAATTACCCCCATAATCTATTTAATGTTACAGGAAGTGCGATAAAATTGAAATAGTCATTCTTAGAAAATTAGTCTCTAAAATCTAACTGGCTAATATCCATATCCAGTAATTCTATACACAATACTATGATGTTGACTGAGAAGGGGGAGTAGAGGAAGTTGCATTTTACTCTTTTATCTTAGAAATTTCCCTGAAAAAATGTTCACAGGGTGCTGTGACAGGTGTATAGTGTTCATGGAAGAGAACAATAGGTTTTACCTGCTTTAAACTTTTTCCAGAATAAAATTACTATGTCCATGCTTCATGGTACAGAACCCAAATTCTTCAATCCCTATCTGCCCACTATTGAAGAGGAAACCAACAGCTATCTTCTAAGAAAAACATCGGCTCTACCTACAGGTATTTCTCTTTATCTAATATGTACACTCCATACATTAGAGATTTGTTCTTAATACATAAATCCACTGTTATAAGTGACAACATATGATAATTTCTAATTTTTTTTCAGACTCATAATTAAGAGTCTCTTATGGTTTGTCTCTCTCTCTGATTTCATCTTGTTTTTCCCTCTCTTCCCCTATGATCCTCTGTTTTGTTTTTTAAACTCCACATAGGAGTGAAATCCGATGAAAATTGTCTTTTGCTGACTGACTTACTCCAGTTAGCATAATACCCTCTAGTTCCATCCACATCACTGCACATGGCAAGATTTCATTTTTTTGATGGCTGAGTAGTATTCCATCGTATATATATACCACATATTCTTTATCCATTCATCTGTCGATGGACATCTCGGCTCATTCCATAGTTTGGCTATTGTGGACATTGCTGCTATAAACACTGGGGTACAGGTGGCCCTTCGGATTACTACTTTTGTATATTTGGGGTAAATCCCTATTAGTGTAATTGCTGGGCCAAAATAGAGCAGGGTAGCTCTATTTTCAACTTTTTGAGGAACCTACATAGTATTTTCCAGAGTGCCTGTACCAGCTTCTATTCCCACCAACAATATAAGAGGGTTCCCCTTTCTCCACACCCTCACCAACATCTGTTGTTTCTTGACTTGTTAACTTTAGCCATTCTGACTGGTGTGAGGTGGTAACTCATTGTGGTTTT